CGAGAGTAAGAGAAGGCCGGTCACTCACTGTCAAGCAGTTCCAGACTGCTTGGGCTGATGACAGCTGCATCCAGTGTGATAACTTTTGGCCGGCTGTACATGAGACCCCTACAGTGGTGGCACAAGAACAAGGGGTTCTCCCCGAGGGGAAACCCGCTTCGCATGCTTAAGGTCACGCGGAGGTGCCTACGTGCCTTAGACATGTGGAGGAAACCTTGGTTCTTGTCTCAGGGCCCGGTGCTGGGAGCTCCTTGTCGCCGCGTATGCTAGCGACGGATGCATCCCTCACCAGTGGGGGCGGTCATGAGTGGCTACCCTGCCCGCGGTCTGTGGAGTGGTCGTCATCTGACGTGGCATATCAATTGTCTGGAGATGCTGGCCATGTTTCGAGTTCTGAAACACTTTCTCCCAGACCTAAGAGGTCACCATGTGTTGGTGCGCACCGACGACAGAGCGGTGGGCTCTTACATCAACCACCAGGGAGTTCTGCGTTTGGTACTTGTACAAGTACCAGATACTTGTGTGGTCCCAGGGCAAACTCCTCTCGCTGAGAGCAGTTTACATTCCTGGGCATCTCAATATGGGAGCAGACATCCTGTCGAGGCAGGGGCTGAGGCCCGGGGAATGGATGCTTCACCCCGAGGTGGTGAAGCAGATATGGAGAGTGGTTGGCCAGGCTCAGGTGGGCCTGTTGCGACTCATATGATATCGCACTGTCCCCTCTGGTTCTCTCTGACTCATCCAGCTCCACTGGGGCTGGATGCCATGGTACAGACGTGGCCGAGGCTTCGTCTGTACACCTTTCCTCCGATTTTTCTGCTCCCGGGAGTTCTGGAGAGAGTGCGCCAGGACGGGACCCGTCTGTTGTTAGTATCCCCGTTCTGGCCGGGCCGAGTTGGGTCTCATGCCTGATTTCTCTCCTCGACGGCGCTCTAGGGGAGATTCCCGTCAGGAGAGATCTCCTCTCACAGGCGGAGGGCGTGCCCCCGCCCAGAGCTGTGAGTGTGGCCTCTGAGGAGGCACAACTCATGACTTCCGGTCCCTCAACCGAGGTTGTTGAGACTATCCTCCATCCAGAGCTCCCTTTATGAGGAAACTGTATTTCTGCGGAAGACCACCAGCCCGACCCAGCTAACTGCCCGTTTGGTACAGTTCTGGAGTTCCTGCAGGCCTGTTTATCCGCATGGTTGAC